ACACTGTTTTAGAGTATCAAAATATATCAGACTTGTGTCAGTGTTTTTATATATAGTAAATAGCTTCCATATTAACTCAAAAACCTTATATTGTATCAATCAGCGTTCCTTATATTCAGTTTGTTAACATATAAAATTTCATTCTTAGCTTACTTAACATCTTCTGGAGCAGCCTCATATGAATGAAAGAGATTATCTCCAGGTTTAATGTTTAGAGCTTTTGTAAATTTAGATCTGAATGTTTTAAGTCAGTGCTGTTTTCTGGATATGGTTTTCATGATTAAAAAGTAGGAAATAGAAGTACAATCGGTCCTGGTGGTTCTGATATACTTGTTAAATGCTAGTTATGCATTCTTGTTTTTACAGGCAGTATTACTCCAACAGTGAAACTGAATGGCCTTGCTATGAAAAGAGGAGAGCCTGCCATCTATACACCATTAGATCAAAAGCCAGCCCCAAACTACAGAGCAAATTATAATTTTTGTGGCATGTACAATCAGAGGTTTGTGCATTTTTAATTATATTTTTAATTGTTATAGCTCCCATAGCACTGTACAATATTGGCAGATTTGATGCTTTTAATTTTTAAACGCTGCATTTCATCATTTGATACCTAATCTACTTCAGGTGTGCTCTGGATTCTGAATTTCCTCTTCCTTGAGTGAGAGATTACATCTGGAAAATTAGCAGGAAATGAAACAATTTCCCCATCTCAGTAGATATATATGGCATACTTCAGTTTGCAGATGTTGTTGTTATTTGATAGCACTTGGTTTGTTAATTAAAAAAAAACAACTCTTCATTTCACATTTTACAAATCTCCCATTCAAGACATTAGTGGAAATGGATGTGATTTCCTTACAACTGTTGTGTAAGAAGGGAAAATCTTCCTCACTGGTCTCCGCACTTAAAAAAATACTACAATTCGTGAAAGTGAATTCTAGAGGCAAACGTGACAATACAGCAGGGTTCCTCAACCTTGGCAACTTGAAGATGTGTGGACTTCAACTCCCAGAATTCCCCAGCCAGCCATGCTGG